TTTTTGGCAAAATGAAAAAAAATTATTTCATAAAAATTAATGTTTTACATTGAGATTATAATTAAAAATACAATTTATTTTATAAAATTATTAAAATATATCTAATAAAATCATTAAAACTATTTTAATAAATTCACAAAACAAACTGCATTTTTAATTTGCATTTATCGAAGGATATATAGCACGCAATATGACCTTAATTCTGCTTTGCTAAAACACAAATGCATGACATTATTCTTGTAGTTTGGAAGTTCTACAAGAAATAAAACGGAGTAATTAAAGAGGGTTTTGCTTATGTCTGAATGTTTGACGAAAATCCAAACCAGCTAGGAGGACCAAAGAAGAGGAAATCAGTGATGGGGATTCATAGCTAGCTCACAGCTTCCTGACCAAAAGATGCACTCCATGTTCAGGTTCTATAACCAACCTTAGAGCAGGAGAGTGTCTATATTTTGGAGACAGAGTGAGTGAGAAGTTTGAGACAAGAAGAGCAACGACTATCTTGAGCTCTGCCATGGCGAAATTCTGGCCTAGACATGTGCGTGGACCCACTCCAAATGGCATGTACACATGTGGAAGCTTGCAGGCTCCAGTGACTCCATTAGAAAACCTTTCAGGATTAAATTCATGAGCATCTGGTCCCCATATGTCGGGATCCTGGTGAAGTGTCACCAACAGTGTCCAGATGTTAACTCCTTTAGGAACATGAATCCCACCGAACTTCATGTCCTTCAGCGCCTCCCTAGAAATTACAGCCACTGGTGGGTAAAGCCGGAGAGACTCATTGATCACCATTGTCAACTGGCATACCCATCCAAGAAGTGGTTATACAGGACCAAAGGAAAAAGAATAAAATAGAGATGGAATTGAACAAAGGGGACTGTTAATTTATAAACTTACCGTCTTCATCTTACGAATCATGTCTGAGTCCGGCAACTGACCTCCGCAGATAGTGGAAACTTCTGCACGAACTCTTTCCTGCCAATCTGGATGTAAGGCCAGAAGCATCAATGTCCATGTGACGGAGACAGCAGTGGTCTCGTATCCTGCCAAATATATGTTCTTGCAGTTGTCAACAATGAAGCGGTCTATTGCATCTTGGCCTAATTCACTGCCTGTGGTAGCTCCTTCCAGGACCATCTGTAACAGGTCCTTTTCTGATGATGCTTCCTTCCTTTCCTTCACCACGTTCAAGATCAATCGGCGAATATCCTTCTCTAACTTCCATGCTTCCCTGTTGCTCTTTGTTGGAAGGTATCTGAAAGGTTTCAAATTCAATCACTACTTTCCCATGCAATTTTCCTGGAAAACTTTAATTGGTAGGCTTGAAAGTAAAGAAAAAGTCCAACCTCATTCCAGGAATCCCACTAGCCAAGACTTTCTTTGACATGGCTTCTTGAAGAGCTCTAAGCTTTAAGAAGATCTCTTCCCCTTTGGCATAATTGCTTCCGAAACAGGCTCTGGAGATAACATCTCCAGAGAAACTTCTCATGCAATTGTCAATCTTAATGTCTGCAACTCCACCCCCAGATTCGATTTGACTCTTCCATGAATTAACCAGAGTAATTGAAGAATCTGCCATTAATTTTATCATTCCCTACACATAGTACAAAAAATGAAATGAGATATATATCCTAAAACGTAGGGAGTCAAATTTCCTGTTCTCAAAGAAAGTCATACCTTAACTTTCTCCATGTACAACTCAGGAGCAAGGACTTTCCTCTGATGAGCCCATATGGCACCATTGGAAGTCAGGATGCCCTGGCCTAGCAGGGGACCGCGCTCCTTGTGCTGATAGGAAGGCTTTCCCAAATCTAGAGAAGTGCATGTGATTATTTCTTTCACCACATCAGGATGGATCATGTGCAGGATCTGTATGTTTCCCAGTGAAAACATAAATGTCGACCCTGTAGATCAACATGAATCTGTCAAAAAGTTTTTCAAGAAGAAACAGAGAATGAAATGTCACCTTTCAGGGCTCAGAATTCATACCATACTGTTGTCTCCATTGGTCGAAGAAGGGAAAGAGAAGGGAAGAACAGTTGTGGGATATTGGTTCTTCTCCTTTTGATGACTTTGACACTTCAGGATGTGTTTGTGTCTTCTTTATCTCCTTGATATTTCCGAGCAGAATGGCTGGTGGAGGACCACGGATCCCTTGCTTTCGAAGCTTTGAACGAAGCCTTCCAGGCTTCAATATCAAGGAATTGAATAGATTTACGAGTATGCTAAATAAAACCAGAAAGAAAATTGAAAGTGTGATCTTGATTGGCAGAAATTGGAACTCCATGGCTCAACTCTCTTTCTCTCTCCTAGATCTTGTTTATCCTCAGCAATGGGAATATATATAATGGTAATTCTGTTTTGGATGTGCTAGTCTACCATGTCGTATTCGAGGGGTAAATGAAAGTCAGCTTGACTATTGGCTTGCCTCTATTCAGGAACACAACGTGTAGCATTGTGTTTGGTGATCTGTCAATAGCTACAAGTGTTGGTTTTTTTATTTTTTTTTATTTTTTTAAGTCTCCCTTGGTGTGAGGATCTTCCGATGTAAATTATATTTGATATTTGATTTAAAATTTTTTAAATACAGTGTTTTAAACTTGTTACTTATTTAAATATTCAAAAAACTTATATTTGGTACTTAATTTAATAGGTATTGGATAGTTTGTAAGTATATATTTGTGTACAAAGAAGTCTTGTACAAGATACTATTACTACACGTATTAAGTGTTTGGTTTAAGATTTGTTATTAAAACGAGTTACTATTAATATGTATTTGATTTATTTGGTGAACCAAACTTAATTTTTATTTTTATTTTTGTATTGTATTACTTTTATTTTTAAAAATTATTGTTAGTATATTGATATTAAATATAATAAATATAGGTAAAATTTTAATTATATAAATACTAGTAATATGTTAATTAAACAGCTTAAGTAAATAATTTGAAATTTTTATATTTATTGCTTGATTTGATACTTATAATATATTATTTTCATACCATTACTTATTTTATTTTTTTACAATTTGAATATGATACTTATCCAAACGAGTAAGCTTTTTGCAAATAATGGGTGCGCCCGTATTTAATGTTTCCCCTTGTTCCTTACATTAGTTTTTACATACTTTAAAACCAATATCATTTTAAGTGATTTTAAGGAAACACTTCCATACTTAATGTGAATCCAATCTTTAATGTTAATTGGCATGACCATTGTAATATGTGACTATTGTTTATTGGAGGTCCACAACTTATGATAATGTCAATTTAATCAATTTAGAAAAATATCTTCTTTATTGGGAAATTTAAAGTTGTTCAAGGCTGTGGTTTAAGAAGCTCTTGTGATTTTTTTTTCTTAAAGATATTTTCAAGAATGAATGGATATTCACATTTAAAACTTTAATTTATAGTTAAGATTAGTCATTGAAATTCTTAGAATACTAAATAACTAACTTTTTGTTTCCACTCTTGGAGAATTCAGACTACAAGACTTCCAAATGCTTTGGTCTTCTGTGCCCTTAAGTCCCCAGTTCTCTGCAAGCATTGTCAAAATCAAGCACCAGAGAGCAAGCCAACCCAACAAACAGTCAAAAACATGCAGCGCAGACTACATGCTTTGCACACTCTCTCTACTGTTTTTTTCCTTCTCTTTTTTCCTTTTTACTTTTTCTTTTTCTTTTTCTTTTTCTTTTTCTTTTTCGGACAGGTTCATAAACCCATCCAATCCTTATAGTCACTGCATTCACATACAATGTGAATTTTTTAATTTTGATCGGCCAAC